TACTGGTGTCAAAGGGTTTAAAAGACAGGTAGAGCTGTGTATCATCCACATAGCTATAGAAAGAGATGTTATGATGATGTATTTTCTGTCCCAAAAGTAGCATATACGGGGTGAAGAGAACAGGTCCCAAAACTGATCCTTGTGGAGTTCCATGTTTTGACTGAGCAGTTCTTGAGGAATATTCCTCAATGGTGATAAAAAGTTTCCTGTTGGTTATACATGAAGAAAACCAGTCCAGAGCAGTTCCTGTAATACCTGCCCACTGTTACAGTCTGTCTATAAGAATGGTGCTGCATGGAGGTCAAGCAACATTAACACAGAACACTCACCGGAGTCTGCAGGCATCATAGGGGACATGTCCTCCTCAGTTTTTAGAACATGAGTATTTATCTACGTTAAAAATATGAAAGTAGCAGATGAGTTTTATGTTTACAAAATCAATGAAATTTACACCATAAACTGATGCAGGAAAGGCACAAACTGGTGCTGAAAATTCACCAGAATGCAAGAAAAATATAAAAGAAGAAACGGCCATGATGACAGTTGAGAGATTTCAAGGAGCCGGAGTTTGGTGTCAGTTTTATTGAAGTCAATGGGGCGGGCACTACAAATAACACTTTAACCCATCACATCTTTGTTGTTTTAACTTTGGCTGAAAAATCTCTCCACCACATTAAAAAAGACACATTATGTGATGCTGACTGATCTTTTTTTTTTTTTATCTCTCCCCATGTCAGCGTGGGTTTTCTTCAAGTGCTCCAGCTACCTCCCACAATCCAAAGACATGCAGATACAGGTTAGTTTAATTGGTGAAATTGCCCATAGGTGTGAATGTGAGCGTAAATGGTTGTTGGTCTCTTTATATTAGCCCTGTGATTGTCTGGCAACCTGTCCAAGGTGTACCCCGCCTCTTACCCAATGTGAACTGGGATAGGCTCCAGCCCTCTGCGACCCCCAACAGAATAAGCGGTTACAGAAAATTAATGTTTTCCTTGTTATTGCTCTCCAAACAGATCATGTCTCTGTCCAGCAGAGGCTGAGATGCACCTGTTTGGAGACCAATAACAAGAAAACATGCATATATACAGTACAGGCCAAAAGTTTGGACACACCTTCTCATTCAATGCGTTTTCTTTATTTTCATGACTATTTACATTGTAGATTCTCACTGAAGGCATCAAAACTATGAATGAACACATGTGGAGTTATGTACTTAACAAAAAAAGGTGAAATAACTGAAAACATGTTTTATATTCTAGTTTCTTCAAAATAGCCACCCTTTGCTCTGATTACTGCTTTGCACACTCTTGGCATTCTCTCGATGAGCTTCAAGAGGTAGTCACCTGAAATGGTTTCCACTTCACAGGTGTGCCTTATCAGGGTTAATTAGTGGAATTTCTTGCTTTATCAATGGGGTTGGGACCATCAGTTGTGTTGTGCAGAAGTCAGGTTAATACACAGCCGACAGCCCTATTGGACAACTGTTAAAATTCATATTATGGCAAGAACCAATCAGCTAACTAAAGAAAAACTAGTGGCCATCATTACTTTAAGAAATGAAGGTCAGTCAGTCCGGAAAATTGCAAAAACTTTAAATGTGTCCCCAAGTGGAGTCGCAAAAACCATCAAGCGCTACAACCAAACTGGCACACATGAGGACCGACCCAGGAAAGGAAGACCAAGAGTCACCTCTGCTTCTGAGGATAAGTTCATCCGAGTCACCAGCCTCAGAAATTGCAAGTTAACAGCAGCTCAGATCAGAGACCAGATGAATGCCACACAGAGTTCTAGCAGCAGACCCATCTCTAGAACAACTGTTAAGAGGAGACTGCGCCAATCAGGCCTTCATGGTCAAATAGCTGCTAGGAAACCACTGCTAAGGAGAGGCAACAAGCAGAAGAGATTTGTTTGGGCCAAGAAACACAAGGAATGGACATTAGACCAGTGGAAATCTGTGCTTTGGTCCGATGAGTCTAAATTTGAGATCTTTGGTTCCAACCGCCGTGTCTTTGTGAGACGCAGAAAAGGTGAACGGATGGATTCCACATGCCTGGTTCCCACTGTGAAGCATGGAGGAGGAGGTGTGATGGTGTGGGGGTGTTTTGCTGGTGACACTGTTGGGGATTTATTCAAAATTGAAGGCACACTGAACCAGCATGGCTACCACAGCATCCTGCAGCGACATGCCATCCCATCCGGTTTGTGTTTAGTTGGACGATCATTTATTTTTCAACAGGACAATGACCCCAAACACACCTCCAGGCTGTGTAAGGGCTATTTGACCAAGAAGGAGAGTGATGGAGTGCTGCGGCAGATGACCTGGCCTCCACAGTCACCGGACCTGAACCCAATCGAGATGGTTTGGGGTGAGCTGGACCGCAGAGTGAAGGCAAAGGGGCCAACAAGTGCTAAACACCTCTGGGAACTCCTTCAAGACTGTTGGAAAACCATTTCAGGTGACTGCCTCTTGAAGCTCATGGAGAGAATGCCAAGAGTGTGCAAAGCAGTAATCAGAGCAAAGGGTGGCTATTTTGAAGAAACTAGAATATAAAACATGTTTTCAGTTATTTCACCTTTTTTTGTTAAGTACATAACTCCACATGTGTTCATTCATAGTTTTGATGCCTTCAGTGAGAATCTACAATGTAAATAGTCATGAAAATAAAGAAAACGCATTGAATGAGAAGGTGTGTCCAAACTTTTGGCCTGTACTGTAGATAAAAAAAATGCCAGTAAGCATCACGTATTGTGTTTTTTTTAATCTGGTGGAAGGATTTTTCAGTCAAAGTTGAGACAACATGGACTCCGATAGAACTGACACCAAAGTCTGGCTCTTTGAATTCTCTAACAGTTGTCGTGACTTTTCCTTCTGTCATATTTTCCTCGCCAGAATGCAGGAAATTAAGTGTTTGTTGCTCAGTTGGGGTTTTTTTTGGCAGAGGACCCCAAACCCCCTAATGTTGAAAAAAAATCTGCACCCTTGTTTCACAGAAAAATAAAATCACTGAGTTTTATGGCCTAATAAGTTTAGCGTGCCAACTAAATTTAATCCACAGTTCACAGTTGAGGATTTGCTTTGGTATATAAATGGATATCATAAACAGTTTTGAAATAACTTCCTCTTGCCTACAGAATATAGCTAGCCACAGTAAGTTTTGTTAAACTATTATGTATATCACAACTTCAAAAATATCCAAATGGATTGAGAGCCCACTAAAATGTCTTACTTGTCCCGAGTTAATTAAGAGTTGTTGGTTTGAACTATAACAGTAAACAGATTTTGAAGAGAGGGGTAACAAAACCATAAGAGCTCTCTGAAGATGAGAGAAAATAATTGTATCCTCCATTAATTCTATTAAAACATTACATCTTTAAGGAGCTTCACTCTTCATTTTTATATTCTATACATAAGGAAAGAAGAAGAAAATAATATTCAATGACATCCCTATTTCCTCTTCTCCATCTCATGGTACAATTATTGTTAATTCCAGTATAAAACTAAGCCCCCTATACCATACCTCTTCTCTAATAGTAAACTCAATGTGAAGGTTTTTTCTGCTAAATTCACAAAAACATCAGAGAAGACAACTCAGACGTGTGATTAATTACATAGCCTGGTGGTTTGTGTCTTACATTTGTGTTTGAGGTGTATGTTTAGCCATTACATTAAAATGTTGACTTAGTAAAAGTATTATAATAGACATATTAGTCAATGGTATCATAGGTGGTGTTGTATGCAGAAATTTCCATTAAAGTATTTTGGGTTTCATCATTACATTGTGCTCTTTCTTATAGGAGTTCATTAGACACACCGTGGATTTGTCTGATGAGGATGACGTTCAATAAATGAATTTATCAGGATTGCTGCCATCAACTGTAATACACCCAGGTAATACTGTGACATCTTGTTGGTCAAAAACATTTCCTTAAGAAAACATCTTCCCATAATTATGTTTCTAGATATTTAGCATGATATGGTGGGGCTCTTTCTTTAACCTTGACACACAAGTTGACACTCTTGTTCTTACAATCACAACAGGGAGTTGTTGCAGCACATGCTGTACCTGGTTTATATAACAACAGTAATTTGATGATAACCACTGAGCAGATCTAATAAAACAAGACAGTGCTTGTATTATGTGTCCATTTCCTCCATATGTAAATTTTCTATTTACAGCCAGCCCCAGGGCTGCCTACATGTTGCAAGATTATATCAAACAATTTGGACACAAGATGGCAGTGTTAAATCACAGATACTGCACCGGCCTATTTTCTGGAGCATCTGCCTCATATACACAGGAGTACGGACTGCTGTGTGTGTCCTCTGACAGCTTTGGTGGATTTTATCCCATATCAGCAGATGATGATATTTGTGCTGGTAATTTCCATGTAGAGACTGTTTGGTTTTGGCAGATGGTGTGGATTGAGGCTGATAAATATTAGACGGCTCAGATTTCAAACCCCAAAGTTTAAACATGGCATTGTTTTAAGGCTGTGGCTCAGGAGGTAGAGCAAGGTGTCCACTCATGACACAGTTGATGGTTTGAGTTGTCTGTCCACATGTTGAAGTTTCCTTAAACATGCTATAAATCCCCAAACTGCTTCTGACGGCCGGGTCGACGCCTGGCATGGCAGCTCTGTCACCATCACTGTGTGAGTGGTGTGAATGGTGTAAAGTGAAGAGGTGTAAAGTGCTTTGTGCTTTAAGGTTGAAAGCAGTGTACATGCACAGTTAATTAAGACTATTTTAGCTATTTAGCTGCTCGCAGCAGGAGGCAGGCGGCGTGTAACTGACATGTAACAATGTAGTATGACAGCGTGTTTGTTAAATTTGTGAAGGTTACTATAACCACAAACTTTATTACATTTTCCTCCCTGTTTACAGTGTCATGCCAAGTAAATCAACATGTCAAAGTGTTTTTGTATATCATCCTCTGGAATACGCATCTCATGCTGATGTGCAAATAAGCAGTCAGACTGTCAGTCATTTTAGTATTAATAAAAAACACATTTTATTTACATAAATTACAAGAAAGCACAAACTGGTTCACCAAAATCTACATTAAAAACGTCTTGTATATATTACATTTAACAGATTTACTATAATTTACTCCATTGTTGCAAGTAGAATCTTCAATAAAAACAAGGGCTATATGCGACTTTATTGGCATCTCATTTCAAATCGCTACAAGTCAAAGAACAAAATAAAATAATCGGGACATTGTACTCACAGCACTTTGAGGACAACACAGTCAGGACGATTGTCTGTATGACCTCTTTAATATCTGCAACACCTGATTCAGGACTAGTGATTATATAACTCTGTTTACAATGCTTGGCAAAGGAGCTCAGCTGATCTTCACAAGGATGATGTCGTGGAGTCCACCACCTCTCGTCCGTTACACACTGTTGGAACAACATTGGAAGCTGACGCTGCAAAACAGTAAAAAAAAAAAAAAAAAAAAAAGTTTTTTCAGATTACAGAAACAATACACATATAGAATATAACTATTTTATATAGGCTAATAAATATTATACTCCACATGGTCCTGCCATTCCTTTTCCTCTGAGCTACTCTCATGCTTACAGATGAATCAGCAGTATGATAATCAAGTATTGAAATATATAGAATGAAGTGAAGTCTGGTGATTTGTGGTTATGTGCGTATGTGTTGGCATCACATCTTTAATTAATTATGCAAAAACAATAGTGGCTTAGAGTTGTGTCTCCTGATTTATAGAAATAGAAGAAAGTTGGTTATTTTGTGTGTGTGGTGGAAATGTTCCAACTGTTTGTTCTACGGAACAAAAGAGCACCAAACAAACTGTTCAACCGTTCATCTGAACCATGCATGATTTGTAAAAAACAAAAAAGAAAAAAACATAAAAAGAATCCAACAGCCAGTGTTAGAGGTGTGACAAAAAGGTGGTCTTATATTAGGGATGCACCAATTTATCATTCAAACATCAGTATTGGCCTACATTTGCCTTTTTTGACTGCCATTGACCTAGCTGCAAATACAATGACATTCACCGATCGCAGCAGCCAATGTTTATCTGTTGTGTTGCATTACTTTTGCACTGGCTAAATGTTGTGCTGGTTATTTGGACTCAAACAACAGTAGGTAGCGCAGCATACAGAGAGGAAGCTACTAGCTGTGGCCAACTTGGCATGACGTAAGAGGAAAATGGGTACTGTGAGCACATGGGGTTTGTTTTCACGTTTGCTTTCAGTGAGCGTCTGTTCAGCTCTGCGTCTTACATCTTGGATGTTGAGACAAATAGACCAAACTGCAACAAGGCAGAGATACTTATCCTTGTATGCATGTGACCAAGAAGTAGGCTGTGAGGTACCAGTGATTTGTTTGTTACTTTTTATGATCAGTGTTCAGAAGAGGAGGCCCGCTGAATGGGAATACTTTCCCTAAGAGGCAACTTTTGCTTTGTAAAGAGGCCCATGTTCCAGCTTACTGTAAGTTTGTGCTAAATGGAAAATGGAGCGACATCACTTTTCTTGTGCTGCTTTCAGACACCTTCTGTAAGTATTTAAACCTTTGAAGCCTGAGCACATTGGGGTGACTTTTTTCAAAAAATATGCCAGAAAAAAGGCAATAAGCAACTTGGTAAGAAATGTCCCACAAATTGCAAAAAAAAAAAATAGATTCACAAAACTATTTTAAAAAATAGGGAGAGAAAAAAAGCAAGGGAAAATGAAAATTTTTTTTTACTAATTTTCTTGTTTTTAATTTTCTCTTTTAACTAATTTCTTGCAAATTGTTTGGGTAATTTCTTCTTTGATTGCTCATTGTTTTCTTCCCATGTTTTTGACAGAAATCAAGACAGGTTTTTTTTCAGGTTTCAAAGGGTTAATGCACATTTTTATACATGGCACTTTTCTAATTGCTTTTACAGTTACAATTAAATACCTTTAATTTATCTTCCCCAAAAAGAAAGTTTTTGTTGTGAGTGCTAAAAATTCTTCTCATTTAGTAGCACAATAAGAAGGCTTTTGAAGCAGCTATTTTTCAAAAGCATCTTTTTCATGCGAAAGAAGATTATATCATTGTTGTTTCATTAATTAGTATAATTGAATTTGTGGTCATAGATAGTGTAATGAAGGGCTGATTGACTTCAAAAAAGTTCTGTTATTTCTTTTTATAATGAAGATTTAGTTGTTTCCCTGGCACCAAAAAGGGCAGAATAAATCATTGCACAAACGGTGCATCCCTAACTCATATAGTCATAAAGTAGTTTTAGTTGAGTTATAAGTAATGTGCTAATTATGGCAATGAGCTTGGCAATAACTACCATGATGATGTTGTTGTATATCAGGTGGTACCTTGAGAGAAACTGGAGCCCGGGCCAGTGGTGACGCTGAAGCGGGTGGTGGCCACTCTGAGAGTGCTGACATTCTTCTGCGGCTGGAACAGGATGATGTGAACCTTGGGAGAGAAGAGGCAGCCCAACACCACCGACCCACTCAGACTGACAGAGATGCACATGGTGGTTGTCTGCACCTGGAGGAGGAAAGAGAGGTGAGAAATTCACAGATATGACTCAGTTTACTTTTATGTAACAGAAAAGTAAACTCACATTTTGAGATTGCCAAAGTGTTGAGAGAACACCATCAGAAGTGCCAATCTTAATTTCACACCAGTGCCAGTATTAATGCTCATGTACAGCTAAAGTCCCAATGTAGTTATTTTAACTTCTGACATTTCTTTTGGCATTAAAAATATTTATTCAGTGTCTGTGCTTCCACGGAGCGGATATGGCTCTGAGGGGAACATTCACAACAACCAGAAAGTGTTAAATTAAATCTACTCGTGTGGAATCATACAAGCATTGGCATTGGGTTGAGAACTACTGTACAAGAATATTCACTTTAATAAGAAAGGGGCTCAGAAGTCAGAAGAGAAATGATTAAGACGTCTTTCATAATTCAGAATCCAAGCCAGGTGCAACAGAGGAGGAAGGAGGAAGCTATCAGCTGGGACTGTTAAAGTGAGGTGTTAAGCGATCTGCTTATGTGCTTGTCAATCAACTGCTTAACTCGCGCTCCCTTTTCCCCTCACCCTGCCCACATCTCGCTATGTGTCATCATCTCCTTCATTTCCAATCTCTGCGCAAATTTCTTCCTTTTTTTTTCTTATTGTTCTTCCTGGATAACAGGATACAGCCCGGCATCGTGTGGTGTGTGGCAGGTGCATCCCATCTTCACAAGGCACAGCAGATGTCTGTTTTCACCCTGAATGTTAATGTTGGTATTAAAATACCCAAGTATTGCACTGTGCACACACTGTTCTGCAACAGAGATAACAAACAAAGATAACATGATAAAAGCAAAAATACAGTGCCCATTAGATTTCGGCTTTAAGTGACAGAAAGTCAGGTTACCGAGAATATTGTTTAATTATCTTCATCATATTTATGTTTCTTACTCTCTTACAATACAAAATAACTAAGTACTGAAGTAGTATTCAACAATTGATAATAGATTAACTGATCTGTTTTACTGAATTATTTAATAATCATATATTTGATGTATATGTTTACAACATGGTGGTCTAGTGTACCATGTATGAAACATTACTGAATTTATCTGTGTATCTTGAGATATATTGCATGTTGCCATGTGCAATGAATTCAACATTAAAATTCACCTCATGCCACCTCTGAAATACACACACTGACGCACTCAGGTCCTGGACTCAGATGTAAACTCACAAACATCTACCATCACCACTTTTTCTTTACTGTTTATCTGACCTGTATATTTGGACATAATATCGTGGAATAAAGGCAACAGAAGTGCCAGTTAACACTTAATAATCTCAGCATCACTGAGGTGCACAGAGGCTAAATGTCCTCTACTTAATTCAGAAATAGTTTTGAATAAAACCGGGGACAGTGCTGCACAGGAATGACCTGTTAAGTGGTTTTAATAATTCAGAAGATGCTGCTTTGGAAGAGCAGAGGACAAGGAATCTGCCTTTGCAGTAATATTTCTCCAGATGTCTTCTGTTCGAGCGTGGAGAACAGGATGTAGAGCATGGCTACTACTACGGCTTCTGCTTGTCTCGGTTCACTCTTGTTTTTGAAGGTATTATTTTATTTTTACGAATACAGCCCTGCTGCTTCAGATATAAATAATGTCTGCTGTTGTCAGGTAGCTTTATTCCTCCAGAGAACCTCACAGCGGAGATGAGATTCCTCCTTTTATTGGGCTTCGTGCTGTACGTTTATTGAAAAGCTTTATTGGATGAGCCAGGCACAAGCCAGCCTTGGTAGGTCGACATGGATGTGGAAATGACAAAACCCACTTCTTTCACTGATAGAGACCAACGTGTGATATGTTGAGATTTCACAAGTGGAATGATGTTGTTAATGTGTAATTAGATATATAACATATTGTTATATTTAATTACACATCTAAAGGTCCTGCACTTTGTACGCCCACCATCCTTGCCAACCACCTCCTTGCACATCTTACATGCTGCATGAATGTAATGTTTCATTACCTTAAGGAAATGTTGTCTCTGAAATTGACTCAGGCAGTAATTACATTGCCACAATAATTTAAGTAAGAAAGCGGTTTACTTACATATGAAGAAAAATTATAGGAGATAGGGTTGGTTGGCATTTATTGTATTGTCTGTCATACCTGATCCCCACTGGTTTCATCAGCTGATCTAGATAGTGTACCGCTGTAATTGTACATTGCTAGATTTATTACTGTATTTCCTCTGAAGGCTGCTGTTCATTCTGTAGAGAGGCACTTCCTGGTTTAACTCCTTTGTTGAACACAATGAGAGATGATATTCACACTATAGTCAGTGTGAATGTGTGAGATTAATAGGTACCATACATACTAGTCTAAGGAGTCGAACTGATTAGAAATGATTGAGGAAAGGTTGGTTTCCAGGCAGATCTTGGAAAGATCTGTTAATGTGACAGGCAGCGCGTGCTAAGATCACAGGCAATATGTTTCTGTCTTGTAAAGCGCTGTGTGTTTAATCAGTTGTGTTTACTGCTGAGATGAGATGACCAGCACTGGCATATGAGGAGAGCCCTCTCCCTCAGGGCATGTAGAACGTCTTCAATATTTCATATGATAATCAAATGTGTTATTCATGGCTCAGTGGTATTTTGTTTACTTTAACATTTCATGACAGACCACAATCAAAAATCTGTATTTGTTATTCAGCTGAAGGTTTGCATCCGACTGTGACAATTTGAGAAGTGGTGTAAAACTAGGAGAACACTTGTAATATCTCGCTGCCTGTGAAAAATTAGAGACACCGTGCCAAGTCGCTTGCTTCAGTAATTATTTATCGGTCAAAGGGGAGCATTGCATCCAACTGATGAGCCTATTCTGGCTGTGAATTGCTCGCATTGCCTGGAGGGCCTGGAGAAAGGGTTCCTCTGAGCCTCACTTGAGTCCCAGGACAGGGGGCACAGCTGGGAATCAGCATCCCAGTCTTTCACACTCCATTCCACACAGCTACGCACAGGGACACACGGGGACTTTGAGTCCTCATGGTCTTGCCTGCCTCCTCCATGTTTCTGCCGAGGCAGCTGTGTCGGGGGATTCCTCTGTCTATTCCTACCTTCTGCCTCTCTCTCAATGCACACTGTTCCCAGAGGAATAAAAGCCCATGACTCAGGCCACCCTTTTTCTCTGAAGTTCTAGTCAGTATGTTCCTGTGTCTACCAATCATCAACCAATCAATCAGCACGCATGGCCAGAGACTGAACACTATTTATCTCGCCAGTTTGCTTTGCTTTGCTGCACACATGCAAATCTATCTATCTATCTATCTATCTATCTATCTATCGATTTATTGATCTATCTATCTAGGTTCAGTTGTGGAAATGCTGGGGATAAAGGGGTAAAATAACAAGATGTGGAGGAGCTCCTGTGCCTTCTCTCCATTTCACTTTTTAATTTTAACCAAACATCGACTGTTCTATGTGTCTTTTGTTCCTAGAATGCATCTTGTCAAAACGACTAAGATATTTGGCGGGCTGTTACATTTTTCCATGTCTTGAGCAATATCCATATTTTATAATTTACTTTTACTTCATTAATATTTAAATTTTAAAGGTAAAATAAGTTCCTTTCTTGGGGCACACCTGACAATATTTAGTATGCAGCTAATTATGAAGAATTAAAGCAGTGAAGTAATAAAGAATATATATTCCTAACAGCCACGGGCGACACAGACGCGGCTGCCTGCTGAATCAATACTAGCTAACATTAGATGGTGATTTCATGCATATTAAGTCCAAATTCAACCACAGAAGAAGTCATTATCTGCTGGGATGTATTCTGCTCAGATTAGAAACCTAAAGCCATCTGAACAAAAAAAAATGAATACAAATCACCACAACAGCATGTAGCCTATTTCATTTAGGATTTAGGAAAGAGTAAAGTAATATTTCATTGATAGGAGAAACATGTTTTGACTATTTGAAAGGACCACATGTGCGCACTCATGTAGCAGATGTAATTTAACTTGACTCACCCGGTAGTCACTGGCAGTTACGTAGAAAATAGGCTGGAAAGCCAGCCAGATGATGCAGGTGGTGTACATGGTGAACCCGATGAACTTGGCCTCATTGAAGTTCTCGGGGCATTTGCGGGTCTTGAAGGCGTAGACCGTGCACAGGATAATGAGAATGCAGTTGTAGGTGAGAGACATGAGCATGCTGGAGTCCTTGCTGTTACACTTGAGGGTGACTATGTCTCTCCTCTCCGGGCTCACTTCCTTTCTCACCCCCGGGGCCTCGATCAGCAGCCAAACCACCACCACTACCAGCTGGCAGGAGATCAGTGCGCCACAGATGGCAACCTGGGAGGCTGGGCTGATGAATCGAGGCCGCTGTGCTCCATCCTTCACCCCGCTAAAGATCCGAGCGATGCGATTGGTCTTGGTCAGAAGGGCTGAGTAGCACACGGCGAATGAGGTGCCTAAGCCTAGCCGGCGCAGAGTACAAACTGCCGTGGACGGTTTGGCAATGTAGATGAAGGTCATGCTATAACACATCAACACTCCCAGCAGAAGAATGTAGGAGAGCTCACGGCCACTGGCCTTCACCACGGGTGTCTCATTGTGTTTGAGGAAGAGGCCAATGACGAAGAGCGTACACATCATCCCTAGACAGGAAATGGTGACGGGTCCAATGGCCCAGGCATCTTCCCAGCGGATATACTCCTCAGGCAGATCATAACAGCCTGTGAGGTTGGCCAGGGGCCACTGTCCAAAGCTGCAGTCAGCACAGGTGAACTCATCCTGCAAATACTGGTAGGGCTGACAGGGGATACAGATCCAGCAGCACACGTCTCCTGGCTGCATGCTCTTCACCTCGTTCTTCCTGCAGGGGTCACTACACTGAGAGGTTGGCGCAATGTGGCCAGCCCAGGGGATCAGACTGGTGTTCAGGGTCAGGCTCTGAGCCCAGTAGCCGACCTTACGGTAGACATAGCGTCCACCTTCTTTGTGGTAGTGGAAAATGTTGTAACGGCCAAGGCTGTCCCCGAAGGCATCAAAGCGGACTACATTCTCCGTGTCTGGTGGACGAAATGGCGCTGAAGGTGAAAAGAAAAAAAGAGGGTGTTATAAAATAACAGGTATAAGGGGGTCATTGTATTGCAAGCACAATATAAAAACTGTGAGACAAGACTGTGGATTTTATACCATGGACTCCTATCTTATAGATCCTTCTTATATAATATAAGATGGATCTATAAGATAGGTGACAGTGTCTGAGCGGACATTTTATTTGTCTCACAGAGAGTGAACAGTGACTGTGATGGGACACAGGTGCAAATCATCAATTTACGTGATAGAAGCCACAGTTTGAGTCTGTTCACTCTGATGGAAAGTTCTTGGATTGAACAATGCAATGGAAATTCCAGACAGATGGCACATTATATAAAATAATGTCCAATTTTTCATGTGAAATCAAGGCTGAAATTAACCATCATACTCTCCAAATCATCTGTCATTATCCAATTTAAATTGACTTTGATAGAAGTAGCAGTGCAAGGTCTCTGCACACCAGGTCAGAAAACAGTTTACTGAGGGCTGCAACTACCTTTTTTTTTCACTGCCGATTCATCTGCTCATTATTTTCTCAATTAATTGATTAAATATTTTGTACATTACATTTTGGAAAAAAGTGCCCATGATAATTCCCCACAGCCCAGAGTGACTTATTCAAATTGACTGTAATATGTGGGAAAGAAAAATATCAAATTCTCACTTTTGAGAAGCTAGATTTTTGCCATTTTTGGTTTAAAGTGATAGGAATGTCAAATCAATGATAAAGATAGTGTATTAACCCATTTTTATCAACTAATTAAGTAATTAACATTTTCTTTCAGCTCTAATTCTATCTCCATCATTTAATTGTAAAATGTAATATTATTCTAAGTGTGAATACTATGTTAAACAGCCACAACTTCCTCATTATGCAGCTCTTAAATTACATTTAAATCTATTATATCTAATGATTCTAAAATGTGTAGTTAGTGGTCCACCTGTTTCTGTGTGCTTTGTCCTCAGGGCATTGCAATGCCAGCAGGGACCGACTAATTTTAGGCCTCTAATCCAATTTCAAGTCTCTGGATGGTAAAAATCCTTTGGGTATTTTTTTCCCCCGCACATTGTGAAGAGCAGAAAAGCACATCTGTATAAGAGCATTCAGGTCCACCTCTATTTCCCATCATGAAAGTGTCACTATTTCCATAAATCAAATGCTCTCACTTTCATTTTGGAAAGTGAGAGGCTCGTGGGGTCTGTCACTTGTGATGTGTGGATGTGTTGACGCAAATGCTGTGACACGTCTTGTGTCGCAGCTTTGTGGAGACAAGCAGAAAGCAAGTAATATTTGCAAGATCAGTATCTGCAGTGTTAAAATTGAAGAGCCCTCTTTCTCTCAGTCAAGTCAAGATGCATGAAAAAAAGGAGCCCGCAAGCACAGGGGGGAGGGAGGGAATAGTTTCATCTTCGCAAATTGAATCATTATGGAGCTTATCTGCAGCTACAGTGTACAAACATGTAGAATTACTCTTGCGTTAATTCAACATTTTATATGAATTGGTACAATGAATCTAAATTGATATAACCTAATTTGGCAGCATACAGTGCATGCAGAGTGCACTTGGGGAAATTAAATGATTTTATATTGAGGCTCGCATGGAGTTTTATACAGATGACAGAATAATGAGAAAAGGGAAGCTGCTTTACATCATGAAAATTCATATCTGTGAAGCATCTCTGTAGTAATAGTAGTTTATGAGGTTTTACTCACCCTCAAACTTGACCTTGAGAATGTAGTCCCTGTAAAACTTCCTGCCGTTGCCAGGTTTTAGAGCTTCACACACTTTGGTGGAGTTGGGGCATAAGGCCTGCCTCATGTTGTGTAAGGCAGCAGCCATTGCATAGACAGCATTCACTACAAACATGATCTTGGATTCAGGCTGAAACGGAGTCTCTCGGAGTGAGTGCTTCCCACAGCCCAGGTCGTGGAGGCTGCACTGGAACTGATTTTCCCAAAACTCTCTGAACCAGGGATTCCTGGTGTTGTTGTACGGGTGCAGGGCAGTGAAGTAGTCATTAAACTGGGGGATCGGATAGGAAGCCAGTTCAATGGTGAATGCCCCATCTGCCACAGCCTCGCTGCCCCTCACCACACTCTCCTGCGCTCCCCAGCCATCACTGGCCACCCAGGTGAAGGTGACGTTCATGCGGTTTGCTGCGACTAGCAGCTCACGGGCGTCTTCACTGCGTGTGAACAGGATGACGACCTTTGCGTTGGACTTCTGCTGCAGGGAGCGGATCACGTTCTCGTAACTCCAGCGGCTCATGGAGCGGCTCACCTTGGCTGAAGTGGCAATGCAGATCTGCCGGGCACGGGCCTCCTGCTGGAAGGCGTCAATGCCAGTCTCACCGTAGTCCCCTTCTGATGCCACTGTAGATACATACGTCCAGTTGAAATAACGCAGGATCTCAGCCATGGCCTTGGCCTGGTAGAAGTCAGGGGGCACAGTGCGGGCAAAGTAGTCATAGCGGGTCTTGTCGCTGAGCTTGGCACTGGTGGAAGCATAGCTGATCTGAGGGATTTGGAAGAGCCGCAGCAGGTTGGCCACCTGGAATAAGCAAAAGACACCAGAGGGATTATGTTTGTTACTTGAATCAGTCTTCACACAATATCAATAAACCTTCATTAAGGGCACTTTAAGTACTAACATACATATTATTATGACATATTAGTTGGAAAGCTGGTAATTAACTTATAACACTTCACAGAAAAACATACACCTGCCAACTGTGGGAATTTTTTAATTGCTCATCATTAAATAAATAAATAAAATAGGCTACACAGTGTGTTTTTCCCCCACAGATGCAATTAGTCTCACCCCATTCAGTCTCTAATTTCTCCACTGGATCCCTGCTGGGTCTTTCACAACTTAACTCTCCTGCCGACTGAGTGGCGAAATCCTGCATTTAACAGTTTGCCTGTTTATCTCAACTTTTCTGATCTGTAATACTGTCAACAGTGTTAGCCAAAAAATATGTATGGAATGGCTGCAAGTGAAGCCAAAATGGGTAGAATCTGCCATAAAACTAAATACATGCTCAAACTGTTCTTGTTCTGCTGTGGAGAGGAGAGAGAAGTAGATACAGAGACACAGAGAGGGGTTGAGGGCAGGGATTGGGAAGTGAAAGGGAGTCAGAGTATCAAAGAATCTTGAAACTTTGCGTTTTCTGTGTAATAGGTTTTGTCAGTGGTGACACAGCTGTGCAGAAGCAGCTACTGACTAGCTTTTGCTTCAGGCACTTCTGTGGAAGCCTAAGGGGAGTCGGTCTGATCAGTCAAAAGGATGCCAACCTAAATCTGGTTGACTTTAATACCGGCTCTCACACCAGCACACTCATGGCACAACATCTTGAATGCCAATGAATCATTCCTGAGAAACTCAGAGAGGAAACTCACATTCACATTCAAACGCATCCACTCTTAGTTTGATTTATTAGTCCTATAGTGTTACATTGTGGCTGTAAGGAAAGCAACTTGTTTCACGTTATGAATAGTTCAGAACAGTGGCTGAACTTTTACACTGGAAACTCTTTTGCTCCAAAAGAATATGGGGCAATCTATCTTTCAGAACTATGGATTACTACAAATTGTGATGTTGTTTAAAAACAGTCTGTACGCAAACTTTTCACAAGCAGCCTTTTCATTTGTTTTATGCCACAACAACCTTTCAAAGACCAATTTGCAAATGTGAAACAATTTGAAACCTCTCAGTTCATTTTTGATTTCCAAGAGGCATTGTCAACGCCTGTACTTAAACAACTTTCTAAGTTGTTCTCACAAAATTGCCACAGCTGTGCATCTCTTTACCAAGATAGGATATGCTAGCCGTTATGTCCTTGGCATGGGGGTGCATGAGCCAAAATGATGCCATCACATATTTTGCATTAAGCACAAAGGCTCCATAAGTTGGCAGTCTTCATATCAAACCCGCCCCATATTAGATAAATGGTTGTGATTAGTCCGAAGTGGGCTGGTTCGGGTGGAAATAAGTCCAAAGCCGAGGAGATTTATCTGCCAGAGCAAATAACACATGAGCTTTCAAATTCATCTGGTTCCCAGGCAAAGCCCCGCCATCTTGGACGTATCTTTACTGAATAAAAGTCTTAAAAATTGTCCAACAGTTTCTACAAGCTGTAATTGATATAATTAAGGAAAATTAGGACTTAAATACATTTTGGTGCAGGACAAAACAAACCTTTTTCTCTTAAGTAACTAAATTACAGTTAAAAGTTACACACACAGTAAAATCACATATTAGATATGATGTGGTTCCTCCAGCAGCCAGTATGCAAACAGGTGTCACAAAAATTGCTTAATCACTTGATTTGAATGAGAAACAGTCTCAACAGCCAACATATTTGAAGTATAGACCAAATGCAGCAGTACAGATGAAGAGACAGGTCAAATCAAACAGGATAAACAGACACTTCATTGATTAGTCTGTATCCTCGATGAAAAAGAGGGCAGCACACTGAGACATCACAATACATCTAGTGTGATGTGCCTCAATGGATATTAATCATAGGATCTTTGTTATTCTGCGGGATCAGAGAGATGAATATTAAATGAGCCAATGGCAGTGATTTCCAGACCACTAGATTTATTGGAATTAATGAGAGAACGTTTCACAGAAAAATGAAACGCAACAGCACAATCAAGTGCAACTAGACTAGATTTTATTTTACCACCACCCAACCAATGTCATACAGAGGGAACATTGTACAAAATTACCAGTCCAGCATTAGCACTATTTCTGACTCGTCAGTGGTGTGGCAACTGCAAAACGAAATGAAAATCTAGATTGTTGAAACACATGAGTGAGCATTTCAAACCAGTTCAAAGGTTGCGTCCCTCTGAGATTTTAGATCAGCTGGAGAAACCCTGATTATGCAGACAGGCTAATAATCACATTTGTACATGAAATTGTCTCCCTCCTTAAAGCGCCTTGACAGCCCTCCTCAACATGTGGTGAAACAGCTGGCAGCAGCAGTGCGCTCGCTCCCTTAGACAGGAATCAGAGTATGATCTAAAGTGGCAAGTGACACATAAACACTTTCTGATAAATCATTTTCACATCACTTGGTTCTATACCAAAAAGTGCAAGACCAACTCTGACAAATTCTCATGAGTCTTTTCTCCATAACTTCGCATACTTCTCATAACAAATGATGTTCAGTTTAATATTGAAGTCAGTCCATGTCTTGGATTCAGTTGTGTGAACTTAGAGTGAATTGACCTAGTCTTTACTTTCAACCACCACAAATAAAATCATGTAGCAATCTCAGAACCCATCTGTCTGACAACCATAACCATAACCTATTTTGGGAGATCCGGTGTAGCCGGCAGATAGCAGGGCCAAGATTTCTGCTCCTTGTGTGCTAATCTCTACAAACTGATAACTGATTATGAATGCAGATACTACAAAAGCTAATATACAGCTATCACCAGACAATAGGCAATGCATTCCACCTCTCCTCTCCACTATAAACAGAATTCTGTTTATAGAGATTAATCTCCTAGCAGATCATTCAAAAACTCTCAGCTTTATATCAGGTCCACATGAGGACTTCAACATGATGGTGCACCATGAGTGCTGTCCATGCATAAAAAAAAAGATCACCTGCTAATTGCAGACACTCTAATAGAAGAATAGATGAGAATATTATGAATTTTTATTGACTGATTTTAAAGTCAAACACAGTAAGCGAACAACATTGCAGAGAGCTTTTCAAGCCTCCAGGCAATGTTTAATGTAACACTCAAAATAATTGATTTTCCATGAAGCATTCATATAGTGTAGTATTCCTCAGTGGCAAGAAAAGAGAGGGTCTGGGGAATTTGATACAGTTAACGTCATTTCGAGAAGTTTTACAAGTTAAGTCCATCCTCATCTTCATCATCACAAAATCAGTTGATGGTAAGCTTATCACATGCATTCCAAATATAACATTTTACATGTGAGATCTGATCTGCTCCTTCACCATGTGTTCAGAAATAGTATGTTTGAGGGGCTCTGCCTAGATAGGAGAAAAGTATTTAAAGGCGCTGTATGTAAGAATGTGGCCAAAACGGTTACTGCACTCAAATTCAAAATACTGCCGCAAGTCGTGTCCTCCCCCCCTCCCCTACAGATTGGAGGTTGCTGGACAGCGGCACGCTGGAGACTGATTTGTTTGCCCACGGGCGGCTGCCGTGGCAGGGCTGTGTCGCCGCGTCCTTGATCTTCGGTTTTCCAGCTGACCGTTCGAGCAAGTCCGGCTTCTCTGCTGCTAACGCTGCTGCCGGGATACAGCTGAGGAGGAGCCGGCTGCTAATGCTATGTACTGGGACACTGCTAATGCTGCTTGCCATGCTGCTGTAGCTCAGTCGTAACTTTAACTGATGCTGAGACTCTACTGACTGCGTGACTGGTAGACGGCGGTGGGTGGCGCAACAGGCCAAAACACAAATTCAAAACATAAACATGATTTGTGCACCATAAAAAATTTTTTTAAATGCAAATATTCTGGCTGTACTGTTGTTGTCGGTGAGATCAGTATGTTATATGAACATTATTCCTTAGTCTCTGTGACATATTAGGAGGATTTTACGACTATTTGCTTTAGATTTCTTACATATAGCTCCTTTAAAGTAAACCCTTTAAATTGTTAATCAGATTTCACTTCCTGTATGAACAATAGTATTTTTGACAGACATGTAACCCTGATATATATGTAGCCAAAATCTATGCGAACTAATAAGTGGTATAGACCATTTAAAAGCCTGATTTATGTGGTTGAGGATGATTAGCTGTAGATGCTGACTGAGCTGTGAGAGGTTTTGAATAAGTTAACAACTTCATAAAATCGCTGTGATAGACATTTTTGTTCACTTTCAGGAGTGAGGACACATTCTGGTTGCTGGTGGTGTGTTTTAACACAAAGGCAAGTCGGAAAGGCTGAGAGGGCTCCTGTAGGGAAGATACAGGCTGTTCTGGTGGGATTTGAATCCAGGCCAGTAAAACTGCACGTGAGTCTAAAGCTGAAGGTCTTAACCATCTCTGAGCGTTAAGTCTTTCTAGACAAAGAAGGCACAGAACACATGTAGATGCATTAACATATCAGCAGACGTACGTGTAAGGTTAGGGACGACTTAGCATTAAACATTCAAAGCAGAAGGACTAGACAAAGAGAATTTCCTGGCATGGCTGTGTTAATGTGATCATTTACTTGACACAGGTATAGAAATTAAAAAAAAAAATCCATTTTACTGAAATTTGGCTACGCTCGCGGTAGTGAATGAGTAATTTTTCTGCAGGGTATTAAAGGAGCTGTATGCCAGTTGAGTAATCCACTTACATTTGGCTTATAGAGGTTATAACGCTCAGTGCCAGATGTGTCACCAATACAGTGGGCTCATTGGAAATCATTATATAGATGTTCACGTGGTGTACAGGCTAAGCCAAGACCCTTTCACCTGCCAAAGCCTGTGACTGACACATTGTGAGTGCAGAGACCACTGGTAGATCAGGAGGCAGATATGGTGCACTATAGAGAAATGGATTCCATG